TTTAATAAAAAGGAGCATTCACTTAAGAAAAATTCAAGAAGATTTTGGCAGGGTAGAAGATAAAATCCATGTGGAACCTTCTGTAGTTTATAGCGTAAGCTGTTAAATTAAAGTTTGCAATGTTGTAGATAGCTTTAGAAAAGTCATGTCAATAGCGCAGGAAGCCTGAACTTTAAAATATTGGATTGAACAAGAAAAATCAGTGTAGTTCCAAAGTCTAGATTATACATATGGTCAGTAAATAAATTCTTCTTTTTAGAAAAAAGGTATAATAGTTTTACGAGTAACCCAAATAGGTTTTCAAAGAACTTTGAGCCAGGATACAGTTTTCGGCAGGTTCAAGTTTACCTTAAAAGGCTTGAGTAAGCTTGTTCACAATAGCAATCACAGAAAGCTCCCAAATTTCCAGAAATCCCCCAATTTTCCAGAAATCCCAGTTATACTCCACTCTTGGGACTAATCTGAAATGGTTGGAAAAAGAACCATGTGAGCTATGAAGCCCAATAAGTATAAGTTACAGTTTAGAGCCATGGTAGAACTCTTAACCAATTTAAGAAGATCATTTGGTTAATCCATCATAAGCTTGTAGTTATAACAGAATACAAAACAGTAGGTTTAGCTGAATCAACCTATCGTCAGTAATTGAAAAAACATCAAGCAGGGACTTATCAATAAAGCTATTAGCAAACAAGCACATTCATTTCATGCTTCAATACTTAATCTCAGCAAGTATGTCTACTACCTTAACCTTGGTGAAAGAAAAGTATTCTGGGGATATGTGCTCAATACAAATACAATATCATGGGGTCAACTAATCAATATATGGTACACTCACATTCTGCCAGAACTTGTCATGGCATACCCAACTGTGCATTGGTCAATAACAACAACCATGGCTGCTCACTTAAGCACAATAGTACCTGGCTTTTAGCATAGGTCAATACCCCCCCCAACCCCATAGAAAACAATGCAATGCAAGTTGTATGCGACAATGTTTCAATGCTATCAGTAGGATCTTGTACCTCATTGATCATAAGTATTAGTCATAATCATCACTGACCACTGAATGTCATTTAACTATAACTCATGTCATTTTGATCATAAGCATTCAATAACAAATAGATCTGATAACATCTTTTGGGTATCAACATAGGATTACAGAATATAGGCAGTCTATATTCATTCATCATAACCGGTGAACCTGATATGCATATACAATGGAGATGCCTAGAATACTTAATACAAAAATCCCTATGTCAATAGAATCAATTGCAGACTATAAATCTGGTTATTATAACTATTTCATCCCTTTATTACTTTTATACAATTGGACTCCCATCTTCATTCCAGTTACAGCATAGCTACGATATATGTAGCCTGTTAGCCTTCGCAAGTTTATTTGCTGATTTATTATATACTTGCTATCTTTAACAACGGCCAGCATTAAACTTCGTCTATTATGTCTACAATTCATAAACATTCTCAAACACAATAAGTTATTGATTCTAATCCTTAATCTCCACCAGCATGTCAAAAACCCATCACCAATAAGCTATGTACAGCATTCTAACCCACTTTAACTTGTATTAGCTTAATTCTAGAGTCATTTTAAACTATGTAATTACCATCTTACATCTAATTAAGCTACAAAGGCAGTAACTTGTACTCACCACACAAACCCATTGCTATCCTGGGTGGAACTTCCTTGAATTTCCTGCAATTTCTTCACTGGTTGATCGGCAGCTCCCTAACTGTTACTCTCCTCTGGGTCCGCCCATAAGCACAAATATATACCAGTTGCTAAGTAGGAAACACCGTAAAAAGATGAGAACAGAAGCTGCCCTTCGCAATCCTTTCCTCCTCTCCCTCTCTCGCGGTTGTAAAAGGAAAATGAAAGTAAAAGAGTTCTCAAATGTTTAAATCAAAACATGCATGAGACCATGGGGTTTTGCTAATGATTTTCCACTAGCTCCCACGCCACTTGTCTATGTATAAGACAAGTGTAATTGTGTAAACATGACAAGCTTGTGCTAGTCAATCAAACTCCACTAAGCAACTTTTACAGTTTTACGAAATTGGCCATGCAACCACCAACTTTCCCTTTCTTAAATCAAGTCCCTCCAATTAAGGACTAACAGGTTTTATTCTATGCATTTAAGGACAGGTTATGACACCCCTACATTGATTATGTTTATTTTCCTTTTATTTTTCCATTGAGTTTGCAAAAATTCGGCTAGCAGGACAGGATTTCATTGACTTAGATTTTTTTATGGGAATTGACTTGATTTTGGTTTCTGGTATAGTCTGTCACTGTAATTTATGGCTGTATTAGATAGTGTTTATGGTGAGATATGTAGTATATCATGTCATACTATGTTGTCCTTTTCATTTGGAAATATTTATAAGAGCATGCAGATATATTGTCAGAAATATACCATCAGATGGTTACTGTTGGGTCTAACTCTTGACTATTCTTAACTATAGAGCTTTATTATATTTGGGTATGTGAAGTAATTTATTCCTTGATTCCAACCAAGAATGTCTTTACTCCTTTTGTCTTGGACTTGGTCTTTTTTCTTTCATTTCTTCAAAGATGTTCCTTTCGGTCTCCATCTTCTACTTTTCTTTACCAGTATCCTCATCCCCAACCATCCGAGTGGTTGCTGTTGAGTAGTACTTTAAAATGAACAGTTGTTTCCATAGTGTGATAAAAATGTTGCCGTTTGTCATGTGCCAGATTTATGCTATGTTTTTCCTCCCGTTCCACTATCTTGGTGGTTTTTCTCTGAAGGAAAGTAACCTTATACTTTCATATCACGGCATTGTGAGGACTTGTTAAAAAATTATATCTAAAGCCTTCAATGTCTACTGTCACAGAAGCAAGTTATATTACAGATGTTAAGATAAGTTTCTGGATGCTGGACTGGACGTACACATTAGTAAAATCAGATGGGATCCAATACTTTTCGTAGTCTTTACTCTTGTCAATAAGATGATGAACAATTTCATCATAGAGCCCTTTTTTCTTATATTCTTTTTGTGAAATTATATCAGGGAAAAAGTGAAGATATTGATCGTGTTAAAGAGGCTCAAGTGGCATGTCCATATTCCAAAGGCCAAGAGAGTGAAGAAATTATGTCCAATTCTAAAATTGACAGTTCCGGGTGTCCTGGTTCTCATCCAAATGATTGCCAAGTGCTTTCAGTTTCAGAATATACAAATACATCACTTCCGGATGGTGCACAGGCATTGGAACATGGAAATGCTCAATCAGGTGAACCTTGTTTAGCTTCAATATGTCTGTTCTGTGACATCATAAATTGTAAATCTGTTCAATTTAGAGAATGTATGGTAGTTTTCTGGATGATGAATGCATTAATGCCTTTCATATTCCACTGATGAGCATGATTGTTGATGTAGAATATAACTACCAAGCAAGTTCTGGATTTCACTTTGGTCTTGACTCACCGCAGCTTGCTGCAGAACAGATACATGCTGAAGGTTCTGATCCTAAAGTTCCTCTATTTTATTCAAGTAAAATAGCTATTTATGTTATTTCATTATTTTGAATAAAAGTTTGCTTTTTCAGTTTTCACTAATTCTTAATACTTTTTTCTCTGAACAGATAGTTTTCTTGAAAGTTTGCCAAACAATTTTAGTAGAGAATCGGACCCCTTTCAACTAAACAGGAGCAATAGTGATTTGCATGCTGAACTAGCACAACCAACAGATGACCGCTCCTGGACTTCCCATGAGT